TAGTATGTGCCAAGGACCTGGTTGGATACTGATGATATCGCAATGAGTAGAGACAGATTGAGTCCTTGACCTCATGAAACATCAGGTTTCTCTACTGTGCTCATTCAATTTAGCTCATCTCACTGATTCCTTTCAATAGAGTCAAAGGATGAGGCGAGATTAAGAAAAGTCAGAAACATGTGGTGATTTTAACCTATTACCTAGATGAGGGAAGTGATGGCTAATTTTATGTGTCAATTTGACTGGGTCATGGGGTGCTCAGATATTTGGTTAAACATTCTTTTGTGTGTGTCTATGAGGGTGTTTCTGGATGAAATTAACATCTGAATTGATAGACCGAGTAAAGCAGATTGCCCTCCCCAATGTGGGTGGGCTTCACCCAGTCCGTAGGCCTGAATTGGACAAAAAAGGCTAAGTAAGGGAGAATTCACTTTCTCTGCCTGATTGTCTCTGAGCCTAGACATTCTTCTTCTCCTGCCTTGGACTTGGAAATCAGACTGGGACTCATACCATTGGCTCTCCTGGGTCTTCAGCTTGCTGCCTACAGATCTTGGGATGTCATGGCCTCCGTAACAAAATGAGCTAATTCTTTATATTAAGTCTCTTTATATATGTATAAAATCTTTTGGTCCTGTTTCTCTGGAGAAGGCAGACTAATACAAGGAAATAAAAGACAAAAGAATGTCCTATGGCAGAATAGCTCTGCCTAAAGTTTACTTCTTCATCACTTAAAATGTTGCAATTTATTAGGAGACCTGGCTTACATCTTAAATGGAATGTCTAGCAAGTAAAAAAGTCTAATTTTGGAGGGAGCAGACTATACAACTTCTCTTTTGATAGACCAGATGATCATTCTAATGAGTGAAAAGAAAAATGTATTGCTGCCTATACACACCTAAAACAAATCAAACCAAACCAAAACACAAAAACATTGCCACCCTAATGATTTCAGTCTATTTTTGAATGAGTTGGATGCATGTTATGTGGAGGACAGAATGTTGAATTTCTCTTGTATGTTTATGACTGATTTATATGAAATAGGAGTAATCTTAACAGATAACTGACTCTACGAGAAACAATGGCTTGGATTAAACTACCCTAAAAATATTAATAAAAGAAAACCTCAGAATTCTATACAAGATCCCAATTCATTTAGTGTTCTACAGGCATATTTTATAAGTACTTTTTCTCAGGGGATTAACTACTACATTAAACTGCATAAGCTGAGAAATTTCTATGAGTGCTTTACTGAAATTTTAATGGCTTGGTGGGTGTTTGGTGACACTAACCTTAAAAACTTTTCAGGCTAAAATTATCTCAGTAGTGTCATGGTATGGAACTTTGCAGTCCTAGTTGTCATTTTATCTGTGTATGGGAGAGACTCAGAACTATCTTACGAGGGAGGGAAGCTCAGTCTTGTCAAGAATGCGCTCCTCGCCACTCCACCTCCCCCCATCCCATTTCCATGTATATAATTCCTTTATATCAGGAATTTTTTCTAGTTAGGGTCTTCATTTTTTATTAAGATATATCATTTCTATTTCTAATTGGGCTGACTGAAAGCACACAAATCTGCCTTTAATTGGCAATAGAATATTTGCACTCTACGCCCATGTCAGCAAATATGTATAGTGCTTCTTAATCAATACTAATCAAATGCTCAGTTATAAGATATAATTTTTATTTATGGAGCATTGACTGAAGGTTATGCAGCACATTCTTTCCTCTAGATACTCCAAAATCAATCCTTGAATTAAGGTAGATTGTCAGAACCCAGTACCTCAGAGAAACACTGTAAACTGGACTCTGGCATTCATTAAGTATCTCTAATGAGGACCTAAAAGGAGACACCTGACACTGATTTTATGCAGTAGAGAGGTTGATGCAGACAGGAGATGGTTCGCCATAACCCATACTCTCCTCCTTACCAGGACCTGTAGGGGACATTTTTTTCTCCTAAGCAATTATCACGTTGTAAGCATGCAGACTCTAAATTACATGCCTAATTGTATTTTCCTCATTGCAAGTCTGCTAAGAGGCTCAGAGCCAAATTCATGAATTACCTAAAGCAAAAAAAGAACTTTATGATGTTTGTTTTGTATACATTTTTTCTTATAGTCATCTGATTTTTAAGAAGACATTGAAGTCAAACATAACATAAAATTAGCCATTTTAAAGTGAACTACTCAGTAACTGTGAATTAGTAAATTCACAGTGTTGTGCAACTAATATTTCTATTTCCAAAACTTTTTCATTTCTCTAAAAGTTATCTGATTTATCTTTGTCTCCTTCTATTTTCTTTCAAGTTTAAAAAATAAAATCCTATTGTATTTCACGGATGTCTATAAAGCATCACAATCTTTTTTTTTTTTTTTGAGTTAGGTAGGATTTTAATATACAAATTATAAAAAACCTAGTAACCAGCCTCATTGAGGAGCAGTAGTCAAAAAAATAGGAGAAGAACCAAAAAAAGTCATTTCGTGGAAGACAAATGAAGGAGTTCCAAGAAGGGAGTGGTTAACAAAAGCCCAACACTAGAAATGTCAAGTAAAATGCAGATGGAAATGACGCTGCTAAATTGATTAATTAGAAAGCCATTTGAGAAAATCGTGTTCCTGTAATGTGTGATTAGAAGTGAAACCTTGTGAAACCTTGTAGTGATTAAGAGGTGAGAGAGTAAAGACCTAGAAGGCTAGACTATTAACAAAAAATGACAGCGTGGTGAAATAGAGAAGGAAGAGGCTGTGGTTTGAGGGCAAAGCAAGTTTGAGGGAATATATATGTATTTTAATGATGGAGCTACTTAAGTCAAACATATTGTAATAGGTAGAGGACACTTGAATGATGGTCCTGGTTTTGTGACCAGCTGTGCTGTAACCTTGAGCAAGGTACTTCATATCTCTAGACCTTGTTTTCTTATCTATGAAACATAGTAGCTTAACTAGATTATATCTAAGATCCCATCTAGCTTTAGTGTTCTATGGTATATTCATAAATGGAAGGAATGTATAAATAAAATGAGAATGGTAAAGCAATTTTGAAAATACGTTAATACTTTTGTCATCTATATACTATTATTTTTAGTAATCTACCTGAAATGCTGATCTTATAATAAGGTTTTATGATATATCATTTTCATATCCGGTGAGCATTTAATATCAATCATTTCGCCAAAAGATTAACTTCATTTTAACCAACTAACTTTTAAATGATTTAAAAGACAAAATAGTGATTGATGTAGATTATGATTGATTATAAATGGCTATAAATTCTTTGATAACTCTCCCATCAAGAAAGAAGGTCTATGTTCCCTTCTCTTGAATCAAGATGGGCTCCATGGCTGGCTAGCCATCAGACTATGAGGAAGCAACAGTGTTTCCTGGCCCTTAAGAGAGTGGCAGCTTCCACTGTCTGTCTCTTGTAATACTGACTTTTTGAATCCAGCTGTCACGCTGTGAGGAAGCCCAAGTAGTCCCTTGGAGAGGCCTATATAGAGCAGAAATGAGGCCCCCAACAGCTCTGGTTAAGCACTGATTTGCCAGTCATGTAAGTGAACCTTCTTGGAAAAAGATCTTCAATACCAGTTGAAATACTCTAGCTTATACAACATGGGACAGAGAAGAGATGTCCCCATTGATCCCTGACCATGTTTCAGATCTATGGGAAAAATAATGATTGTTGTTTCAATCCACGACTGTTAGGGTTCGTTTGTAATACAGAAATAGAAAACTGTATCATGCAGTTAACATTTATCACCGGTAATCATGTAAGCCAAATATAAACTGTATAGGTTATTTTGCTATTGTGCCTTATATGTATTTGTGAAAAAACTGGTCTTCCATAAAATTGCATACTAATTGCACAGAGGATTTATGAGGAATATTGGATTGAGGTGGACCACTAAAAACCTGTAGAATTTTGTAAAGATGAACACTAATCAAAACAGTAAGAATCTTATTAAAAATATCAACCATAACACATCTCCACTGGCATTTGCACTTAGAATCACAGCACATCCTTACCAACCTTGTATTCTGGTTTTCATGTTTCCTTAAAGACATTTTTACTTACAGTTTCACCAGAAAGTTGTATAAAGTGGAAAGTGTAAGGGTTCTTAAAGCCACTAGATCTGCTACTTCTTGCATGAAATAGACTCTTCTTCAGAATACTCAGGATTCTTTTTGTAGGTCCTTATATATTGCTAAAGGTTTCTCTTTAACTGTGAAAAAATTTTACCCTATTGCCTCAAAAATGAATATTCTTGGAAATTCAAAAGCGAACCAAGAGAGTTTATTGATCCTTATTGATCAATTATACATGAGCTAATTGGTACTAAAGAAACACATGTAGGATGTGGTTCCATAGTGTAACAGTTAGCACGTCTGCTTTACATGCAGAAGGTGCTGGGTTCATGCCCCAAGGGAGCCACGGTCCATGGTCTACAGCCATGCCACCCTGAATAAGCCTGATGTCTGATCTCAGAAGCTAAGCAGGGTTGGGCCTGGTTAGTACTTGAATGGGAGACCACCTAAGAAGACCAGGTGCTGTAGGCATAAATAATAATTAAAAAAAGAAAGAAAGAAAGAAACACATGTAGAACAGCCAGTATCAATAGCCAGCTTGTATGGGGTGAAAAGGAATATATATATTGATTGTAAAGACCCAATCCTCTGTTGCCACAGCCCCTTGTTGTGGACTGTGGCTTTATGACCTACCTTATCCTGATGGACTTTCAGTTTTGAAGCCCAGTAGAGCCCACAAGGAAGGGGCTGTTAGTGCTCTCTGTGGGCCTGGGGACTAGAGCTGAAAGAAGGATGCCGAAGATTTCCTTCTCTTCAAAAGAAGACAGTTCAACGGACTGCTTTTCTATTGAAAATGCTGGTGTAAGGAAACTTTCTCCTGGGTCAGGGATGACTTTATCACTGGTCTTTGAGGTAGTGTTATAGATGGATTCCTCAAAGAGGATGTTGTCATCTAATACACTTGTGGGAAGAAGATACTCACCAGGTAGACTGTGTCCTGCTCTGTCCACTGTCTCAGGCCTGGGTTGACCAAGAGGAAGTACTGGACTTAAAGTAGCATCCTGGAGAGTAAAGTTAGAAAGATGGTTGTTGAGAAGGAACATTTATTTCTCTGTATATAAGAAGGGATATACTCTATATTTTTTCTTTTTATTTAAATTAAAGCAAATAACTTTGTAGTCGACTTGAATCTACATGGATTCTGATATAGGTTCTGATATAGAAATACATCCTAAAAGGAAAACGTGTATTGATACAAATTGTAAAATATGATCTATTGGCTTGTTGGCTGAGCCTGCCCGTGTAGGGTTAACTTATAATTGAGATTTTGAATTATGTCAGTCATGTTTGAATTTATGAATTCTTTATTTAAAGAGAAAATAGAACTTCATCAGCACATCCATTTAGGAACACCCCAGTGATAAAGTTTGGCATAAATTAAATGGACATAGCTTTAAATGAAATACAAAAACTATTACTGAATTTATTACTTTTACTTTCCAAGACATTAATTTATACTTATGAAACCCCTATAAATAAGTATAGAGATAAGATCTTAAGACTTAAGAACAAATTTATAAATTATGTTTATGTTTATATTTATTTCTGATAGTCAAAGTTTAATACTTTCTGCTTTAAGTATTCTTTTCAATTCATAAACGTGTTTTTACTTTATCAAAAACAGAGCAAATCCAGATTCTAACTGAAACAAAGATCTTACTACATTGAAAGAAACTTTGAATTTTAAAACATTTTAAAGGCAAGTTATATTATATTAGAAATGGGTAACTAAGTACTGCCTCTAAAATTATATA